GAGAAGTCTGGGACATGTACGGAGTATTCTTTGCCAACCACCCAGATCTTCGAAGGATCCTCACTGACTATGGATTCGAGGGACATCCATTCAGGAAGGACTTCCCTCTCTCCGGCTATGTTGAGGTAAATGGGGCCAGGTGTAATGGGGTGAGGTGGGAGGTCATCTGTTTACTCGAGGTTCAGTCATGCAGAGGTGTAGTTTAGGCAGTAACTCTCCTTGATTTGGAGTAAGATATGTTATGTTTTAAGAAAGGGGCCGAGTAGGTGAAGTGGGGTTATTGAAGATTTCATGTACATGGGGATTTTTTTTGTGTGTGCTCCTTAATTTTTTAGTGAAAAGTTTCTATGTATATATGTGTAATATTACTCTGCTGAAGCCTATCATCTTGATATTCTTAAAATTCATTGAATAATAGTACATATCAATAATGATTAACTTTTACAAAGTTGTTTGGGTCATGATCGTTAGAAATATAGATTTATAAGTTTATTTACTCATTTTCAACCCAATCAACCACTTTGTATGGTATATCAGCTATATGAAAAGGCATGTATAAATATTAACCCCCAAGTCCTAAATCCTATTCAGCATAGTTGTGGTTAATAGCAAAACATACACTCAGTCCTGTTTGCTGTAGTTATTGAAGGCCTGTCAGAAACTGGTAGTATTTTTATTCTGTGACTTTTTTTTTTTTTTTAAGTGAATTAGATGTGTAATGTCTATAAAATATCAGATGCCATTTGGAAAGTTCTTTTCAACCATACCCACAAAAAATCTTGCCATTTATGCAACTTAGGAAATAGTCAAGCTGGAGGGTTTCCAGTTCTGTAGGCTTAAAAATGGAAATGTTAGGTTTTATATGTCCCTGTTTAGTGTATGTGGGAAGTAATGTTGAAGGTATTGCACAGGAAGTTTGCATATGTCTTTTAACCCACTGATGACTTTTTTTCCTCACTGAAATGAGCATCTCACCGTGTGATTGACAAGCAGTGTAATCAACATTTAGTCATCAGGTTTAAAAATGTGTAACATGGGCAACATGTTTATTTAGCTATATGTCCATTTGGCTGCAGCCCTCATGATTTTCCAGTAATAGAGACATAAGACAAGGCTTTAACCCTACTTATACAAGGCTGTAGTTCCTGAATGGGTATAACCAGAGCCAGACAACTGTTTAGGGCACACAACTTCGAGCAGGTTGACCACATGTGGCGTGCATCCTTGCCACCCAGTATTTGGGCTGGTTCATTAAAGGAAGAATAGGTGTCATATGTCATGAAAGGGTTGAGGTTCATATTTCTGTATGTACAATAATCAGGAGAATTAGACCATTAAAAATTTATTTAGTGTATCATATACAAAGTATTTCTTCTTAAAAATTGTAGATTGATTGTGAAGCATATGCAACAGCCTGAATATTGTAGACAATTTTTATCACATCAGAGGTACTGATGCCTCCATTTCACCTCTCTTCCACTTCAGGTCCGCTATGATGACGAGGCTAAGCGAGTGGTGGTGGAGCCCCTCGAGCTGGCACAGGAATTCCGAAAGTTTGACCTCAACGCCCCTTGGGAGCAGTTCCCCAAGTTCCGAGACCACGTGCCGGCCGAGGACGTGCCCATCAAGGAGGAGAAGGAATAAGCAATATGGGGCCTAGACTGCGTAGAATTTGATAGCCGG